AGGAACCAGCCGGGCGCCACTGCGGCCGACAGGGACACCCGGGACGAGGTCATCGCCCAGCTGGAGAGGAGGCTGGCTCAGATGGAGGCCAAGCAGTCGGCCAACATCCCTACGGCCGGCGCCTCCAACGACCCCGGCCTCAACGCGCTCATGAACAAAGTTAGCGCCCTGGAGCGGGAGCTGGACGAGGGGCGAGGTGACCCCATCATCCAGGTCAGGACCAGGACCCCTTTCACCAACAGGGTCCTCTCGGCCCCCATCCCTGAGAAGTACATGGGGAACGCCATCAAGTCCTACGATGGCCGATCAGACCCCCAGGAGCACTTCAGCCGTTATCAAAACAACATGCTGATGGTGAACGCGTCCGACGAATACCTCTGCCGTTGGTTCCTCTCTACTCTCGAGGGGCCAGCGTACGAGTGGTTCAACGGACTGCCAGAGGGAAGCATTGACTCATGGCAAGATCTCGCCCAACGCTTCCTCACTCACTTTGCCGGGAGGAAGCGCGCCAAGAAGTATTTCACCCACCTCCTCTCCGTCAAACAGCAGCACGAGGAGTCCCTCCGGTCATTCATCGACCGGTGGACGAGGGAGACCGAGGAGGTCGAGGGGGCCGATGAGCGCACCCTCCTCGCCTTGTACCAGGGAGCCCTCCGCAGCTCCCCGTACGCCAGGAGCCTCATCACTGACCCCCCGAGGTCGTACGCCAAGGCGCTCCAACGCGGAGGCTTGTATGCCGACGCCGACGAGCTCCACAATCACAAGAGAGAGGGGGGCCATCCCCCCAAGAAGACAAATCCTTCGCCGGCCTCGGGTCCGTCCCCGGCCGGCCAGGGTGCCCAGGGCCGCCACGGCTCTGGTGGACAAAGTAAGAAAGACCGCCACTGGCGGCCGAGGCTGGAACGGCCGGGGGTAACCCTTACCCACCCCCGAGATCACTCAGATCCCAAGGGCCGAGAACGCTGAAGCCGACATCCTCTCCAAGCTCAGCTCGGACACCCCGGAGCACATCTCCCACTTGGCCAAGATCGAGGAGTTGAGCATGTCCAGCATCCATGCCAGCCCCGTCTTGTGCGTCCAACAGCGACCAGAGGACTGGATCTCCGACATCGCCACCTTCATCACCACGGGGGAGCTGCCCCAGGACGAGGAGAGGGCCAAACTTGCCAAACTCAGGGCCCCAAGCTACACCATAGAAGATGGCAAACTCTACAAACGTTCCTACAATGGCACTCTCCTCCGATGCCTGCACCAGGACGAGGCCGACACCGCCATGGAAGAAGTTCACTGTGGCGTCTGCTCCTCGCACCAGGGTCCTTTCAGCATGTCCCGGCGCCTCGTCGTCCAGGGCTTCTTCTGGCCGACGGTGGCACGGGACTGCGCTGACCTGGCCAGGAAGTGCACCACATGCCAGGTACTCCAGAAGGCCCCTGGTTCGCCAGCTGTCAACTATGCCCCTGTCAACACCGCAATTCCATTCTCCAGATGGGGGATTGACCTGGTCGGCCCCCTGCCCAGAGCCGCCGGGAATAACCGCTACATCATCGTCGTCGTCGACTACTTCACCAAGTGGGTCGAGGCGGAACCCTTGGCCAGCATCACGGGGGCCAGATGCCAAAGATTTGTTTACAAGAACATCATTACACACTTTGGCGTCCCCCAGGAGATTATATCAGACAACGGCACCCAATTCGAGGCAGCCCCTTTCCAGGAGCTCCTCCGGGAGTTTGGGGTGAGGCACCTATCCTCAGGGCAACGGGCAGGTCGAGAACGCCAACAGAACAATAATGGAGGGGCTGAAGAAGAACCTCCAGGCCGCAGGAGGTAGTTGGGTCGACGAGCTCCCCAACATCCTGTGGTGCTACAGAACCACGCCGAGGAGGGCGACAGGTGAAACACCTTTCGCCCTGTGCTACGGCTTTGAGGCGAAGGCGCCCACGGAGGTAGCCATCCCCAGCCGACGAGTGGAGCAATATGAGCCTGACACCAACGAAGAGAACATGAAGATTGACCTACACCTGGTTGATGAGAGGCGTGAGCAAGCTTACGTCCGAGCAGAGAACTACCGGCGTCAAGTGAAATCATACTATGACGCCAAGGTACGTTCCCGGGAATTTCAGGTGGGGGACTACGTCCTCCGCCGAAGGGAAGCAAGCCAGCCGACAGAGGGCGGCAAGCTAGCATTGAAGTACGAAGGGCCCTACATCGTCAGTGCCGTGGTCAAACCCGGCACCTACAAGCTTAAACGCCCGAATGGGTCCAATGTACCACGAACATGGAATGTACACCATCTGGTGAAGTTTTATCAGTAATCCGAAGGAGGTGCAGACGGCGAAGCCCTCACCCCTTAACGGGTTACTGATTGAACGCCACCCTCGGCCTCGAGCCACTTATGAATAAAATCATGTTCTGATTTTTTCTCTGGAAATTCAAAGTAAAACATTGGCAGGTGCCCTCGTCGGCCACCTTAGAGCGAAAGGCTCAGGTCTGGCCGACATGGCCCCTTGCATTTGCAGCCTACGAGCGACAAGCTCAGGCGCTCCATTGTATTTTGTATCAGCGAAGGGCTCAGGCCTAGCTGAGAGAGCACATCGTCCTGGCCCCGAAAGCCTAGAAGTGAAACGCTCAGGAATGGCCGACGATGTCCCCAGGACGAAGGGCCCGTAAACGGCCCACGTCTTGAAACGGGAAGCTCACCGCGTCGTCCACGCGCCAGATCGCAGGACGACAGGCCTGAAATCATGGCCGAGGTGACAAAATCCCAGAACTCAGGGATGGGCAACGACAGCCATTGGAAACCGACCAAAAGTCTAGCCCGCGTCATAAATAGGCGACGGGACCCACCCTGAGATCACGGACGTTATAAACGAAGTCCGAACCGGCCGAAGGACGAGCACACCCTCCGGCCGAAGCCTGAAAGAAGGATACCCCCGAAACAAAAAAAAAGGGAAAAAGAGGGAAGCCGACGGCCGCGCACACGTGCTGGCCTCGAGCAATGGAAAAATAAAATCCCCACAACTCAGGCGCAACTAGGCCAAGTACATATCAGTTAAACACAAGTGTAGTACCACTGACAGGCAACATGGACGACACGTCCACACACTACAAGGGAACAATCAAGGCCGATACACACGCCTATAAAACCCTAACCACACCGGTTGGGTGACACGCGAGAGGTGACCTTCATCGGCCATAGTCCTTTGAGGCACCAACGCTTGGTATGAAACAAAGCATCGCAATCCTGAGGATGACCAGGACGAAGCGGGCACTCATCACACCCGCAAAAGGAGCAAGCAATCAAGAAACGACCTCTACTTGCCACAGCACCTCGGATGGCCGACGCAGGCACTGGAACCATAGCTAGCCGACGAAGACAGGACCATCTCCTGGGACAAGCTATTCCTTATCCAGCACCCTCATCGGCCACAAGCCAACATTTATACTTAGGAAATTATCTAAGTACTCAAATGAAGGAGTTCTAGCCGAAGCGGGTACCAATATACTACAAAGCCGTTAGCTACCTACACCTCTACATGTGTACTTGTGAAAAATTCAAAGTCCACAAGACTATGGTGAAGGTGCCCTTATCGGCCAGAACACAGGGATACAAGCCGACAACGGCCCTGGCTAAAACACTTGGGATGAATCCAAGGCCAGGACGATAAGAACGCCAAGGCCTGGACGGAACGGACACCACGGTCAAGGCTAAAAAGGGAAGCACCTAAAAGGAATAAAAAACACTTAGGAATTTTTTTTGGAAAAAATCCTAAGTGTTATGATAGCAAAGGAACACCGGTCAAGCCGACGAGGCCACCTGGCCGGAAAGAAGGCAACTTCGTGGTTCCAAAAACACTTAGGAAATTTTTGGAAAAATCCTAAGTATCACGGTTAGAACCACCGGTCAGGCCGACAAGGCCACAAGGCCGGAAGGGAAGCAACTACACGAATCCAAAACACTTAGGAAATTTTCAAAAAAAAAATCCTAAGTGTTAGGATAGTACAGAAATGACGGTCAGGCCGATCAGGCCGCCAGCCAGGGAAGAAAGCAGCTCAGTAAGCCCAAAACACTTAGGAAATTTTTGAAAAAATTCCTAAGTGTTAAACGACGACGAACAAGCCGACCAGATCACCGGACAGGGTGGACTACCCCATGGACGTAGCGGACAATCGCGGGCGACCCAAGTTATGACCTTGACACTTGAGAAAAAATTTCAAAAACGAAATGACAAAGCAAACAACCATACAAGGGATTCAAAGCCGAAGAGGACAGCAAAAATTTCTTCAATTGATAGTGAGTTCATTACAATTGGGGGCACTTCGGCCGTTACATAATTTGGCAACAATGAAAAGCTAATTACAACAGGGAATAGCCGATCAAGCCTCCGGGGCATCTTCATCCGCGACTGGCTCTTCAACCTCGTCGGCTCCCTCCTCGTCGGCCTCATCGGCCTCAGCTTCTTGGCCGGCAGCGGCGCTGGTGGCATCGTCTAAGAAGTCGAATTCAGTGTAGTCCGGCTCGCCGAGGCCGGAGCTTTCTATGGGGGACTCTCGCTCCGACAGCGGAAGCTTGGCCTGCTCTTCTGGATCCTTCATCAGCTTTGGCAGCTTCAGGTTCCGTCTAGCCCACCCAGACGTGTAATTCATGGCCTTCAACGCCCGGGATAGCCGCCGACACAGGAGCCTTTGCATCCGCTCCTGGCCCAGGTTGTAATAAACGGACATCTCCCGGCTGAAATACTCCCGGCCAGCGGGGGAGTTCATCCCCCAATTCTCAAGCCTGGCGGCCACCACTTCGTAGCACCAGGGGAGCCTCTCATCGGCCTTCCACCCCTCGGCCAGGAACTTCTCGATGGCCTCATCGCCAGCCTTCACGACGGCGGCCTCGGCCTCAGCCTTCGCCTTGACGGCCTCCTCGCTCCTGCGCCTCTCGGCCTCAAGCGCCCTGTGGGACTCCTCGAGCTCCCTTTTGCTCTCCTCGAGCTTGGCCAGGGCATCATCCCTGGCTGCGGCGGCTTCATCAGCCCTTGCCTGCAATGCCTTGGCATCCTCCCGGAGCCGATCAAGGCAAGCTACCGCCTCGTCGGCCGAGGCAGCCTTCTGCTCCAGCTCTTTCAAGCGAGCTATCTCCCAATACTGCCTCTTATGGCTTTCCATAAGCATAAAGGCACTCTGCAGAAGAAAAACAAAGGTCAGGCAAAAGACTCTACACAGACGAAGAGAGAAACAAAAAATATAAGGACAGTAACTTACTTGGACGAGGAGGTCCATGCCGCCCTCGTAAATCTTCGGGTCCTCGAGCTTCTTCAAGTGAGCCCGATCTTTGGCCGGCATGGCCTTGGCCAGGACGACATGGCCGGGGACGAGATCATTAAACACTCCCCCGCCGACGGGGTATTCCACCACCTTCTGGTAGGTGGCACCGGCAATCTCCTTGCCGGCCCTCTGCGTCCGTGGTTCCTGGACGAGAGGAAGCGCTGAGGCAGCATCGTCAGCAACAGTAAGGTCCACGACGGGACCACCATCGCCCACGCTGGGGACAGTAAGAGTACCGGCCTCACTAGCCGGAGAAGGGGAAGGAGCCCTCTTCGTCTTCTTAGAGACGCTCACGCCGGCCTCAGTCAATTTTTTCTGGCCGTCAGTGGCCGGCCTCTTTTTCTTTGATGGGGCAGGCTTTGGGGCCGCATCAGCAGTAGCCCCGCTCCCACCAGCAGCGGCACGTCGGGCCGCCTCGGCCGCCTTAGCCGCCAGCTCCTCGGCCGCCTTGGCCTTGGCAACAGCCATTATGGAACGTCGGTCCATGACAAAGTCTACAAAGGAAAAACAAACAGATTAGTAAGGCAAAGGACAAAACATAAAGACAGAGAGCCGAAGAAAAAATTACCATCGGCCTCAGCAGGAATGCCCAAATCCGGGCCATCGGCCTCCTCAAAGGTGGTGGTCATCCTCGGCCAGAGTTGGAGGTCATCCTCCTTATCTCCATACAGGTGATATCTGAAGAAGCCGAGGGCGGTCATCTTGTATTCAGTGACGTAATCTTTCACGCTCCTCGGCCCCCCTTCCAGGAAAGCCTCCACCTGAGCGTCCAAAATAGAGCTCTTCGGCGGGTCATGGAGATTGAACCTCCCGGTATGGCCGAGAGAGGGGAACTCGGTGCCACTCTCACTAATGGACACAAACACGAACTTGCTCTTCCACCCATGAATGGACGTCGGCAAATCCGTGAAGCTCCTCTTCCTCAGCAGCTGTTGAAGAGTAGCATAGGCCGCACAGTTCTTGTGGCTTCCTCGGCCGATCTGGTACAAGTTCATGAATAAGGCCGTGGTCGGCCTGAAGCCCAACTCCTCACACCGGAGTAAAAAGCCCACCATCAAGGAATAACTGTTCGGCGTCAGCAAGGCCGGAGGAAGCCCCACCATGTCCAGATACTCAATGACGAAAGGGTGAAGGGGGAACCTCAACCCCTTAGCAAAACTCATCGGGTATACTCCAAAGTATCCCGGTGGCGGAAGTAGAACATGGTCCGTCGGCCTGGGTGCCCTAACCCGCCCGAACGGCCCCACGTACATCTGGGCGACAAGATAGTCGGCCGCACTGCTCTCCGGCTTGATCAGGAATATGTTGGTGAGGTCCAGGTAGGAGAGGCCCGGCCCATTCTTCGGCCTCCTCACCCTCTTCGGCTTAGCTGCTCCCTTCACGGCAGACACCGGCCTCGGGCACGGAACGGCAGCGGAAGTGGACGCCCCGTCCACCGCTCGGGACGCGCCTACGTCCTCACCCTCTGAAGAGGAGGCGGACTCCTCGTCCTCGCCTTCCTCGTCCATCAGCTCTCCGGACTTGTAGGGTCTTAAACGCTCTATCTCCTCTTCAAACTCCTCGAGCACCTCGTAGTCAAGCGACCTCGTGGAGGGCTGGTCGTCGTAGGGGTAGTAGTCCTCGTTCAAGCTCTTCATTACTACTACTACGGGCTTAAGGAGAACAACTTAAGATCTAAAGGTGTTCAAACGCCTAACACTAGATCAACCACCTAGGAAGCAAAGTATGAAAAGCGAGGAAGATCGTGATGAACACTAACCTCGAACAACGAAGAACACGAAGAACAGGCTTGGGAGTTTATCTCTCTAGAAAATCGGCCAGCACTTCGACAAATTCAGAATGCAAATGTGATTCCTCGTCGGAGGGGAAGGGGTATTTATAGACCCCCCCCACCAACGGTCACTACACGTGGCACTCTCCCAATGGCCACATCAACGGCCACCACTGGGAGGCCACCATGTCACCAACGGGCCAGGACCAACCCATATCAACGGCCCACCGGCAAATCAGACTCTACGGCCTACACGCTCGTTGGCTTCACAAGTACCAGCAAGCACCCATAACGTCTCATTTGCTTGCCAATATCACAAATCCCAAACAACAAGAAGATGGCAACGGCCAGGAACGTAACGGCCACAGAACAAAGGGAACAAATAGCCCACAACCTTCGGCTCCCCGTAATAACCCTTGATGATAACTCTCTACAAGCGATCTGCGCACAAGGGTTCTCCCACAGGGTTACCTTGGCCAGAAAATCGCCATGAGAGTTGGATTCAGGGGGACTACGGAGATGCCGCTTCGTCCAGGGACTACGGAGATGCCGCTTCAGCCAGGGACTACGGAGATGCCGCTTCGGCCAGGGAATACGGAGATGCCGCTTCGGCCAGGGACTCAAGCAACTCCTTCACCCCTCGCACCCCTCGGCCTGAAGCAGTGGGGGACTGGGGGACTACACCGGCCTCAACAAAACAGAGTAAACAAGGTAACCACAAAACATGGCCACGTCATCCACACAGCACAACGGAACCTCATCGGCCAAAGGCCCAAAACGTCATTAGCGACGGCCAACAAGCCACTAGAGGCAAGGACACTCATCGTCCTCCGCCAACAATTAATCTTGACGGGCCCTTCGGCCAAGAACACGAAGGCCAACCAGCAACGGCCAAAAGGAGTGCGCGAGCACCCTCATCGGCCACCCAAAGGAAAGGATGTCATCGTCCTCAAAGCAAGGAACAACCTCAACGGCCTCACCGGCCCGAACATAAACTTCAACCACCAACGTCCAGGAAAGGGAAAGCGCGCCTTCAACGGCCACCATTGATAGCAGGACACTCATCGTCCTCAAACGAACACGTCAAGGAAACAACGGCCTCCCCCGCCCACAGCGAGGAGCAGGTAACGGCCAAAGCACATAACAGGATCACCAAAATGGAAACAACGCCAATACCGCAACGGCTAACGGCCTGGAAATGCCCGCGTCGGCCAAAAGCAACAAAGCACAGAAATCTACTCTCCTTCACTTCGTCTACGTCTCAGCTTAGAGAGTGGGGGACTCCTGATGGAGTATATGGGTCTGAACCCCAGGACCCACATACTCGGAAGAACAGAGCACAAGACAACAGAGTGGCGCCCTCGTCGGCCAAGACGCCCCCGTCGGCCGAAAAGGGGCCAACTCAGATTACGGTCCTGAGTTTAAGGGACTCGGGTGCCCTCGTCGGCCGCGCCCTCGTCGGCCGTGCCCTCGTCGTCCACGCCCTCGTCGGCCACGAAGACCTCCCAGAATCGGATTCTATACTTACTCATTTGTACAGCCCATTAGAGGCTTTGTATTCGGCCCAGTAGCGGTCCAGTTGTAAATGGGCCTCCCAAGCCCAAGGCTTGGGAGCCCAACCCTAATTTTCTCTATAAATGCTCCCCTTGGGAGTAGTTATAGGGGTTACGAAATCATTCTATTGAAGCATATTATTGCATTTCTCTCTCTAGCTCTCACTTCTCTCTAGATATACTCTATCAAGTAGTTACAAGTTGATTTTTCTATATGTTATGTATTATTCGGATTCCAAAAGGTGTATAACCTTTAGATTGTCTAATTTATGCCCTTCAAACATTATAAAATTTATATTTCACCGAACTATCCAATTTATTTGTATTTCATTGTTACATTTTGTATTTTTTCTTGTTTTAGAGGGTCTCAAATCGCCTTTTGGAACTGAGGCCTCCAAATTTATTGGACGGCCATGTTACTAAAGCATCCTTATGATAGATCTTGTTCATAGTAATATATGCAAAATTGATGATTAACGATTATTGTTGGATTTACTTACTAAAGCATCCTTAACATCTATTCATACTTATATATGCAAAATTTGAAGGTTTATTTGTATTAAGTTCAACACCCTACCACTACTAAAAGTTTTCGTGCTAATTTGTGGCAGTGTACTAGTGGTGATCTTTGTGATATCCTCAAAAGTGATGGTACTATATAACAATTTTCTTGTAATTATTCTTCACAAAATTCCTCTTTTTAACTTTAACAAGGCACTTCATAGTTTTCATGAACCTGGTAGGCAAACCATCCATGGGTGAGGTAAACATGGGGAACGTTTGCCGAGCTTTATTAAAATAAAGGAAAACAAAAAATGGGGAACTATGCCAAAATCCCTCCCTCCGTAATATTGTTTTATAGCTTTTCTTTTCATGACTGATTTGAATACGTTTTCATTTGGACTGAAACTTTGTATCTTGATTAGTTTAAATCTAGTTTAATATAAAGAATGTATGATATACTCCGTATATGAATTTTATTACATGTGATTTAAATTTGATTTGATCTGTTTAAGTCTTGTTGATCGAGAGTAACACAATTCAAAGAGAAAACATAATTAAACATATATAAACACTTTATTTTTTTAATATTCTTACAACGAACGGCTGAAATTTGTGATTTCAATCATATGCAGAAATTAAGATGAAGAATACCAGAATGATTTGTTTAAATTACTATATGATACTGTTTTGAATTTCAATCAGCCCAAATTTGTTTAAGACAACTCACAATAACGACTAAAATAATCTGCAATCCCATTTTCAGCTTCTCAACAACCCAACTTGATGATAACAATTTTTCTTGTTCCTGCGATTTACATTCTCCTGCTTTTATGTCGTCACATGTGTGGGTAATTTTGCCATTTTGTGTTGTGCCGCCGCCTCCCTTTCCGTTGCCCTCTTGTGTTGTGCCGCCGTCGTCCTTTCCGTTGCCCTCTTGTGTTGTGTTGCCGCCGTCCTCTCGGTTGCCCTTTTGTGTTGTGCCTCCGCCGTCCTTTCCGTTGCCCTCTTGTGTTGTGCCACCGACGTCCTTTCCGTTGCCCTCTTGTGTTGTGTTGCCGCCGTCCTCTCGGTTGCCCTTTTGTGTTGTGCCTCCGCCGTCCTTTCCGTTGCCCTCTTGTGTTGTGCCACCGACGTCCTTTCCGTTGCCCTCTTGTGTTGTGTTGCCGTCGTCCTCTCGGTTGCCCTTTTGTGTTGTGCCTCCGCCGTCCTTTCCGTTGCCCTCTTGTGTTGTGCCACCGACGTCCTTTCCGTTGCCCTCTTGTGTTGTGTTGCCGCCGTCCTCTCGGTTGCCCTTTTGTGTTGTGCCTCCGCCGTCCTTTCCGTTGCCCTCTTGTGTTGTGCCACCGACGTCCTTTCCGTTGCCCTCTTGTGTTGTGTTGCCGCCGTCCTCTCGGTTGCCCTTTTGTGTTGTGCCTCCGCCGTCCTTTCCGTTGCCCTCTTGTGTTGTGCCACCGACGTCCTTTCCGTTGCCCTCTTGTGTTGTGTTGCCGCCGTCCTCTCGGTTGCCCTTTTGTGTTGTACCGCCGCCGTCTTTTCCTTGTGATGAATATTTTTTGCCGCCGCTTGATGATATATTTTGCCAGTCTAGTAGTTCTTGAACCGATGCGGTTGTTCTTGGATTAGTTCCATAAGTCGTCGTTTGTTTTGAGAACTTGACAATTAGTGTACCTTTTTTATCGTCAAACTTCGTTTCAATGACGTCCATTTTAAAATATCTATTTCGTTCTGGTACTCTAGATTCCAGAAAGTATGTACGGTTGGCGTGATCAATTCCTACTATAGAAATTTTACTATTTGTCCATTCAATTTCAATCTTATCTACTTTATACCCTACATCACAAATAATGAATAAGAAGAATCACAACCAAGGGGATCATGGACAAAAATCACAAATACGGGTAGACGTTTAAAAATTCTCACAATAGAACTTTTTTGTGTTTGGACAAAAAATGCCCCTGCATGTATTAACCCTACCCACTACCACCGTCGGACTTCGGCCGCCGCCGACCGCCACCGACCGCCGCCACCACCCACTGCCCCGCCACCAACTAACGGCTCCGGTTGCCCAAGAGAACGAAGGGAACAATTAATTAATTAGATTATGAGTATTTGAGGTAGAAAATTAAAGTTCAGCCTTATTTGTGAAAGGTTTAGGCTTTAGTCTTATTTGTGCAATTATGTTTCCATTTAGTCCCTAAATATAAGTATAACACAAATATTTTCAATAGGATGTGTAACTGTTTTCTTTGTACGTAAAATAAGATACAAAGGTTTTATTGTTTTATTCTTTTCAAATTGCGACTAAATAAGTCTTATTTTGAAAATAAAACATTTTTAATCATATTTTTAACTTCGTCTGTTTTTTGGGCAAACTTTGTCCATTATTCCATTTGGTCCAACTTTGCCTAGCTTATTGATTAAAAATGTGTAACGTTGACTAAAAATGATTTCTACTATGCATGCAATAGTGCAAGTAATTATGCATTTATGCTAGAATGTTTTCCGGTCTGTTCAAAACTGTTCGACTATAATTGAAATGTTTATCATTTTTTAGACCTCAATTATTTGGTTCACATGGAAATATATCACTCCCAATAAGAAAGAGTACTAAACCAAACCAACAATAAACAATGATTTTTTTTATAATCTAGGTGTCGGGGTTTACGCTCCCATAATCATGGAGTCTATGAACTAGACTCCAAAGGATGAATCCAACAGGATTTACAGCACCTTTCAGGCTGCTCCTCCCACCACACGAACCCGCTACCTTCATTATCATCCTCTCCCTTCTCAGCCGCTGAGCAACTCCGTGAAGGTAGGAAGAATCATTGGGAGCAAGACCTACCTCATCTCTCCTTGGTGGGAATTGAACCCAAGACCTCCCACAAAGGAGAGATTTGGGGGTGGATAGTCATCCATTGGACTACACCCACCAACCCAATAAACAATGATTATAAATATACTACGTATATACCAAATGAGAACATACAAAACTTTAAGAGTTGTCAAGTTTATTGCACTTGAATATGTCACAACGTTAACAAATCAATTCAGATATGTAATACTACCTCCGTTCCAAAAAACTTTGCTATATCAAAAACATTGAACCTTGATTTTGATTAGTATAATATTATGAAAGTTATAAATGTTATACTTTTATGAAAGTACTTTTAACAAATAACATTTTCATATAATTTTTATATTATAAATAATTTTCAATAAAAAGATATATTCAGTCAAAGTTTTGATAATGGCAAATTTTCAATAAATGTACTCACTATGTTATTTGATTAAAAAAAAGTCAAATATGATAAGCTTTTTAGAGATAATGTAACTAGATATGTAAATTATTAATGCCTCCATCTCAAGAATTAAAGAGTACGTGACCTCACAAAAATTAATCATTGGGTTATATGGTACCTCCTTTCTACTAGCATTAGAACATGAAAAAATGATATGATTATTAAACATGAAAAAATGATATGATTATTAAGAAAGGAGTTTTATATGATTGTTATTGGATTGACAAAGTAAGAATAGAATAAAATAATTAGGAATTACATAAACATTACCAAATTTGATAAGGTATAATTTTGATAAAATAAACCGAAAAGGAAAGATAAGAAAATCTTAAATGGACAAAGAGAGTAATATACTCCCTATATCTTCAATGCACAAGGGTTGAGTTAATTTGTAACATAATATGTATATTGCGGGTTAAGCACATTTTTTTCTAGATACCACTCGTTCCTACGTATAGTAACACATGTATGATAAATATAAACGTGAATGAGTTAACAATAAACATATATTTACCAACAAGATTACACAGCATGACGGTATATTCGTTTCGATTGTTAATCGAACAGGGAGAAACACTAATACGTTCATATCGTACATTGCCTATAAGTATTGTTTTCCTCATTCCAGCAACTGAAACAACAACAATTCTTTTGTCCTATTTGATGATCAAATATCTGCTATTTATAAGATGAGAAGGGGATGGGAAGAGATTTAATTTGCGAGTCGGTAAATTGAGAATCCCATGCATGGCATAATTGTCTTTTTTTTTTGAAGGGAAGGTATAATTGTCTTATTAGTCAACCAAAAACTATAAGTGTTTTTTATTACGAATTGAATGAAAACCTCTACTTGCAAGGGATTCCATTCTCTTCTGTTAAGAGAAGAAGAGTATTCTTCCCATTAATTTTCTTAGAATCTTTCACCAAAAGAAATCTTTTCATTTGTTCGTTTAATTTCAATTCCATTTCCGCAAAAGAAAGTATAGGAAATTATAGTAAAACATGAAAAGGTCCGTGGATAAAAGTATCACTGTTTTCTTAATTATTTCTAAAGACCTTAGAGATATTATAATGTGAAGGCATTTAAAAAACAATAATCAAATTTGTTGATATTATTTATTATTTGATATTCTTTATTATTGTTACATTTAATTATTGTAACATATTTTATATGTACGTACATAGAGGCACGCATAAGAGTAGTGTTGATAGTTATCTCTTCCTAGATAGTTGCTATGCATGCGGCAACGTACTACGAAAGACTTGCGACCATTGTACATAAATAGAGCAGGACTCCTAAGTGTACAGATCAAAAATTACTTCAATAAAACAACACTATATTTTTTCTCTTGCGTACGTGATTTTACATGGTATCAGAGCAGGAGTAAAATCCAGTGAATACCTACGACGATGACAAACCCCAGAGCTTCACACCTGGGAACGAAAATCAAATGACTTCCGGCAATGGCCTACGTGGACGTGAAAACGTACCAGTCAAGGCAGAGGATGTGACAAAGCTATGGCACACACCGTGATAGGTGATGCGTCTAATGACGGCGCAACCATGGTGTCAGGCTTTACTGATGAGCAGTGGAAGAGTATCATGAAAATGATGGAAACTTGTAAGTTTTCACCTCACGAGGAAAAACTTTCGGGTAAAGAGACTGGTGTGGATTGGTTTCTTGATTCAGGGACTTCATATCACATGACCGGAAACATGAGTCTAATGCACAAGAGGGAGAAACTAGCGCTGGTTCCGGTTGGTTTGCTAGATGGTTACAAGTGTGGGAGATATTCAATTGAACCGAAGATTTTAATTAAAAATGTTCTTTTGGTGCCTGGCTTGAGATGCAATTTGATTTCAGTAGCGCGATTAATTGATGACTTGAAATGTGATTTATATTTTTACTAGTGACATATGTGTAGTACAAGGTCTACCTTCAAGGTTGCCGATTGGAGTGGGTAGATGGAGCGGGGGAGTTTATTATTTTCACTGTCTTGATCGAATTCGTGCGCTCTCAACCTCTGCTTCATCATGAGGTGATCTATGGAACTCAAGATTAGGACACTCATCCAAGACAGTGTTGTGTCTAGTCAGCAGACATAATAAATATTTGCTTAATGTTGATTCGAATAATGCTTGTGATGCATGCTTACGTGACAAACAAACTAGTGACATTTTTAATGATAATTTAGCAAGAGCAGTTGAACCGTTTGAGATTATTCATTGTGATATTTTTAACAACCGTAGATGATTATTCTCGTGCTGTTTGGATTCATTTGCTTTGTGAAAAAGGTGAGGTGAAAATATCATCAAGCAATTTGTTGCCATGACTAGTCGGCAATTTAATAAACAAATCAAAGTTGTCAGGACTGATAATGGCCAATAGTTCCTTAGTCTAAAAGAATATTTCTTGACTAATGGCATAATTTTCAAACGTCCTGTGTTTACACACCACAACAGAATGGGAGAGTAAAAAGAAAACATAGACATATTTTGGATATGGCGCGCACACTATGATTTCATGCTCACTTACCAATTCAGTTTTGGGGAGAATGCATGTTGACGGCAGGGTATTTGATCAATAGGTTATTATCTCCGGTAATTGATAATAAAATCCATTATGAATTGTTGTAACATAAATTACATGCATATAATCAATTAAGGGTTTTTGGTTATCTACGTTATGCACACAATAAGGAGAGAAGGGGAGATAAATTTGCTCCTCGGGGCATCAAATGTGTTTTTTTGGGTTATGGCTATTCACAAAAGGGATGTAAAGTTTTTGATTTGGAAAATCAACGTCATTTTGTATCTCGTGACGTTAAATTTGTTGAAAACATGTCTCCGTTTGCGCATGAGGAATCTACCAATTTTGAGGGTTCAGATGGCTCTAAACTAATGCATGCGGGTGATAATATGGCATGGCTAATTTTGAGGATCGGACTCTGATGGTGAAAACATAATATCTGGAGCTGTACCTAAAGTTACTTCACATTTTGAGCATTCTGGCGCTGGTGGAACTCCACGTGGAGAGCATCATCATGAGTCATCACATGGGAGCTTTACACATAATGGGCATAACACTGTTGTTGACTCTCCAAATACGGCCGAATTAATTGACACTCCAACAAGTTCCTTAGAAGCACCGATACTGCCTAGTAAATGTCAGAGACGTCCACCAGCTTGGCACAAGGATTCTACTGTACAGCTCAACAAAGTGGAAATGACCACTCCCCCCAACATCTGCACCACCCCAACGGTTGACTCAGGTAACCAGTATTCCCTATCTAATTTTGTAACATATAATCATTTTTCGGTCGTGCATCGTGCTTTTCTTGCAGCTATTGCAGCCACTAAGGAACCCACTTCTTTTCAAGAAGCCGTGAAAGATCCACAATGAAGAGAGGCAATGCAACGTGAGATCCATGCCTTAGAGAAGTCGGGAACATGGAAACTTACTTCCCTACCACCTGGTAAGAAAGCCATATTCTGTAAATGGGTGTTCAAAATAAAATACAAATTTGACGGGACTGTTGATCGCTATAAGGCACGGTTGGTGGTATGTGGTAATTGTCAAGTTCACGGGATTGACTATTCTGTGACATTTGCACCAGTTGCCAAAATGGGGACAATGTGCACCATATTGGCGGTCGCCGCTTCACGGAGTTGGGAATTACATCAGATGGATGTGGATAACGCATTCCTACACGGGGACCTCCGTGAGGAGGTATATATGCATTTACCACTGGGTTATTCTGTTTCTACCCCGGGACAGGTATGTCATTTGCAGAAATCTCTGTATGGCTTACGTCCGGCTCCACGGTTTTGGTTTTCTAAATTAACCAATTATCTGCGTCAATATGGATTTAAACAATCACATGCTGATTACTCTCTATTTACAATGCGCCATGATCAACATAATTTGTGTGTCCTTGTATACGTTGATGATTTGCTCATCATAGGAAATAACCATTTCATGATTGTCGATTTAAGTCTTATTTGGCTAAATCTTTTCCTGTTAAGGATTTAGGGCGCATGAAATATTTTCTAGGAATTGAAGTGGCTAGAAATTCTACTGATATATTTTGGATATATCAGTAGAATATATGTATTGGATATTCTGGCTGAGGCATGTCTTCTTGGAGCAAAACCGCTTTCTTTTCCTATGATACAAAATCATGGTTTGCAGAGCGATGAAGGACCATTGTATCCCAACCCAGAACGTTACCGGAGGCTAGTTGGAAAATTAATTTATCTTACTCTTACTCATCCGGATATAAGCTACTCAGTTCATATACTTTCCCAATTCATGCATCAGCCGCGGACAGCACACTGCGATGTTTTTGTACACGTACTGCGTTATCTGAAAGGTCATCCAGGCCAGGACACTTTACTTCGTTCTGATTCCCTAGTCTCTCTAAGTTTTGTGATTCTGATTGGGCTAGCTGCCCGCTTACTCGCCGGTCTGTTACTAGGTATCTTGTCATGCTCGGTGGATCTCGTATCTCTTGGCGTACGAAAAAGCAAGTCACGGTCTCTCGTTCGTCCGCCGAAGCAGAATATCTCTCTATGGCTACCCTTGCATGTGAATTGATTTGGCTCAAAAATCTTTTGCTCTCTCTCGGTGTTACTCACACTTCGGCCATCCCGGATTATTGTGACAATAATGCTGCCATTCACATTGCTTCTAATCCTGTGTTCCATGAGTGAACTAAACATATTCAATTAGATTGCCACTTTATTCGGGATCATAATCAAGCAGGAACACTCACTCCTTTCTACAAATCCACCACCGAGCAGCTTGTTGATATATTTACCAAGGCCTTCGGCATGCGTCAATTTTTGTATCTTCTTACCAAGATGGGCATTCTTGATCCCCATGCTCCATCTTGAGGGGGGGGGGGGGAGGCCAGGGTTGATATTATTTATTATTTGATACTTTGTATTATTTATTATTGTTACATTTTATTATTGTAACATATTTTTATATGTACGTACATAGAGGCATGTGGAAGAGTATTGTTGATAGTTATCCCTTCCTAAATAGTTGCTATGCATGCGGGAACGTACTACAAAAGATTTGCGACCATTGTACATAAATAAAGCAGGACTCCTAAGTGTACAAATCGAAAAATTAATTCAATAAAACAACACTTTACTTTTTTTTCTTGTGTGCGTGATTTTACAAAATTAACGCGCGTATGATGTAACTTTGAAATTCTGACGAGTACTATTCTCTTTTCAAATTAAATACAATTATAAAAAGTTTATGGATTTAATTAAAAAGTACTCCCTCCTTCCCTAATTAAACATCCAAATTTCCGTTTTTGTCGTTCCAAAATAAATTTTCACTTTCTTTTTTTCTAAAGAATTTTTGGTTCAGAGCAATTCTTACACATTCTTAAACATTTCTCTCTCATTTCCACAACTTTTCGCCATACAATTATCTCACTATCTCAATCCTCGTGCCAAATGTACTTTGGAAGTTAATATAGCCTTAAGGGATGGAGGTAGTACATTAAAACTTTTATTTAATGATTTATTCATAATACAATTGAAACACAATTTGGAAATTGGAATAAAATGCAATATATGTTGTAAAATCAGAACTGGGAAGCGACCCGACT